CAGATCGGTACGCTGACCCTCCTCCATGAGGCTTCAAGTCCTTTGCATCACATGTTATGTCTCTAACATCCTCCCCTAGAATGGCATTTGTTGCCTGTCTTGATGGGAGTGCACATTCGCTCCTTTTACTAGTACTTAGTAATTTATGTACATCACACCTGTAGTACACGATAATCACTCTCAATATCATTGTTTTTACTACGAAGTACTTTACACAAGATCAAGATGAGGGCCTGGGTAGCGAGTACATTGTACACAAGATTGACAATACATCATGACGGTACCTGCGAAATGCATCAAGCCTGCATGGAGGGCCCGGCGTCGCCTTGTTGCTCGCCTTCGTCGTGGCTCTGCACGCCGGCTGTCTGCGCGCCGGCTGTCTGCGCGCCGGCTGTCTGCGCGCCGGCTGTCTGCGCGCCGGCTGTCTGCGCGCCGGCTGTCTGCGCGCCGGCTGTCCCAGGCATCCTACGAGCAGGCGGGGTAGCCGCCTCGAAGCCGGCGTATGGCATGCCTTGAGGCACGTCGGCGAATACAGCTGCCTGGCCGAAATCCTCGTAGAAATGTGGGTGGACCCTCCCTGACGGGATGTAGGTGCCGTCGGGCGTCATGAGGCCGGGCGCGCGGAATTCGGGCGCGCGGAACTGAGGGGGCAGTGGGCGGTAATAGTGTCCTGCATCCCGCGGGTCCATCACCTCGTAGCTGTCCAGAGTCTGGCTGTCAACTGGCCAGCCGCGCGGTGCGTACCGGGGGGCATGCGGGAGGGTTGGCCGCGGGCGCGGCGCGTATCCCGGTGGCGCGTATCCCGGTGGCGCGTATCCCGGTGGTGCATATCCCGGTGGCGCGTTGTGCGCGTGTGCGAAGGGCGCCGGTGGAGGGAACATCCAATGGCCTAGCATGCCGCTAGCCCCGGCGGTGCTTGTGCTGTTGCCGTCCTCATCGTCGTAGACTGCCAGCCGCTGGTGCAGGAGGGAGGGCGGGAGGGCAGCTGTGCCGCTGGATGGCGCTGGCGCGTGCGCACGCTTGCTGCGTCCCTCCTGTGGGTGGTGGAGCTCGGCCGGGGTGTCCTTGTCACGCTGGGCGGGAGCCTCCTGGTGATGCTCTTGGTCGTGGGTGCCCTCCGTGGGGGCGCCTTCTGTGGTGGCAGGGTGATGGCGGCGCTTGGGGGGCGCGTGCTCTGGCAAGCTTTCGTCCTCATGCAGATTCCGGGCGGGGCGCTGACGCTGGGCGGGAGCTTCTGTGGACGCGTCGCACTGCTCATTTGTGGTGGTATCCATAGCCCCGCCGCGCGTTCGGGCCCCTGCATGCACCGGGCGTGGTGCGGGGCGTTTGGCTGTCTGTGCCCTGGGCTTTTCGGGCATGCGAGGGGACAACTGCTGCTCGACATCGCTCCCGCCCGCGCTCGCCTTGCTCCGCTTGGTGCTCCGTGCAGGGGCCTTGCCTTTGCTGGGACCCTTGCCCTTGCTTGGCTCCTTCTTGGTGCCGTCCTCGGGCTCGTCCTCGGTGTTGGACCCGTTGCGGAGCACCTTCCGCTTGGCCCCTCGTGGCTTCACCGGGGTGGGGGTCCCCTCCGAAGGCTGGTAGGCGTCCTCGTCCTCGGAGTCCTCAGAGTCCTCGACGTTGATGGCTTTCCGCTTGTCCGCTCGTGGGTTCACCGGGGCGTCGTCGTCCTCGCTGTCGTCCACGTCGATCGACTTGGATGCGGTGGTCGGCTGGCTCGTCCTCGACTTGCGGATCACGACCTCGACGACCCTCGACCTCGTTAGAGAGGCCTTGGGCGGAGGTGCCTGCATGGGTGACAACGCCGCCGAGGCCGTGTCCTTGCTCAGCTCATTGGTATCCGGCGACGAGCTCTCACCGTGCTCTCCTGACGAGGCAGGCGCCTCACGCCTCGGGGGTCCCTTGCGGTCGCTTGTCCCGTTGGCGAAGTAGCGGCGCGCCCGCTTGAACGTGGCATCGTGTGCCGGGGGTGCGCAGATGATGACCGGCAGCTTGTTCTTCTTCAGGGCTATGTAGGAAAGTAATCAGCGCACTGGCGGCGACAGGGAGCAGAACACATAGATACTCACCTTCCTTGTCGACCCTCTCGAACTCGAAAGGGTAGTCCCTGTCCACCAGGCCCTCGATCATTCGGTTGAGTTCCGGCATGGACAGCTCCACGATCCCTTTGGCCTTGTTGTGGCCACCGGTTTTTTCCTCGCCTGGCCAGCGCACGTCGTCAGGGTAGTTCTTCCACACGAGCCCTTGAGTAACCAAGAGCTCGGCATGGTGGTTCCAAGGGAACAGGTTGTTATACTTGCGCTCCCAAGGGCCACCGGCGGCCACTGGCTGATCGTCAGTGTGACGCCACTTCACTGAGAGGTGAGTTGCTTACCTTCCATCTCCCTCACATTGAACCTGATGACGCCCGCCTTGTCTGTCGACGAGAGCTTCTTCCTCCAATCCGGGTGCAGGAACTCGAGGCCGAACTTGCGCCTGTCTAAGTCCTTTTGTGACTTGATGGTTCCCTCGTTGGAGGACGCGCCAGCCTGCTTCGATGGTCCTGGGACCTGCGTGGATGCCTTGGATGGTCCAGCGGCCTGCTCGGATGGTCCGGCGTGTTGTTTTGAAGGTGCGCCGCCTTGCTGGCATGATGCTGCAATGGCGGGGCCGCTGGGCTTGCTCGGTCCACCCACGTCCTCGTCGCCGTTCTCGCTCGCCTCGTTGAGGATGCCCATGGATATTTGATGACTGCGCCATGTAAAACATGAGCTCCATGTTGCGTTGTAGATATACATAAACACTCACTATAAATAAGACTTGAAGTGTGCGAGGGATGTGTCTTCGTTGCCCCGCAGATAGGTGCTCAGAAACTGGGAAATTATATAGTCAGTAAAGCACCCAATGTAACCAGCGGGAACTTACATTTTTTGCCGTCGCAGTCTCATAGAGCTGCGCCAGGCCCGTGTCCGTATTGACGAGATTGCCTGCCATCAGGAATGCTGTGGAGAAGTCGTATCGCAGCGCGAGGTTGTCGCACTGAGGGGGTGGTTAGTGGGCTGCGCGACGCTCATGATGTAGGCACTTACGAGCTGCCTCATCTTGGCGACTGCCTTCGCAAAGTCGCGCTTGCGCTGGCCGACAGTGTGATTCACCGCCCACACTTCGACCTCCTCGAAGGTCTCGAGGATGTCGCGCCAGATGTCGGCGTGCGCTTCTTTGAATAGCGCGTACGTCTTGGAGCGGATTTCGACGGTATCTGTCAAAGGAGCATCTGTGCGAGGCTTGCATTAGTATCTGTTTAGGGATGCAAAGTCCCTGTACTTACCTAGGCCGAGACGCTTGCATTCTTGCGCCTGGTTCATCTTGAAGTAGCGGCCGTAGATGTTCCAGTGGTTGCGGGCGGTGTTCACGCGGGCGTGTTGTTGTCCGAACATCGCCTGGACACGCGCCGCTGGCAGCCCAGAGTCCTTGCTGACTTGCTCCACGATGGTATTCATCTTGGCAAACCCTGTCCGCAGGATCTGGCGCACGTCGTCCGAGAGTCGCCCTGGGGTGCCGAACACGTCGTCGTCAGCTTGCTCTTGTAGGGCTTGCTCTTCAGCCTCTGCGGCCTCTTCATACGACATGCCAGGCACCTCATCCCACT